TCCCTGGAGAAGCTGACATCAGAGAGGGGGTCTTTGGCATTCTGGCCCCCTTATCTCCCCTCCAGGCAGATATTTTCCCACCACACCCTTCCTTCCTCTGGGGGCCACATACCCGTTTGCTGGGCTGAGGCTTGTGGACACTGAGGGGTGTGGGGGTGATTCCGTTGTGACATCTGAACGGAAAACGTTAGTTTGTGGGAGACCACATCAGCCAAGCAGATCATGGGAAGGGAGGTTGGGCCCTTTCTGGTGGGGTCTCAGGGGGCTGGGCCGGAGTTAGGCCGACGCACACGAATGTTCCTGGAGTCTCTAAACCCCATGCAAATAAGACCCCCGATGATCAGACTTTCCAAAGGGATCAGAGAAGTGAAGGCCGGGATCACACCTGTAATGCCAGCACTCTGGGAAGCCCAGGCAGCAGGCTCGCTTGAGGCCAGGAGTTTGAGGCTGCAGTGAACTACAGTTGCACCACTGCACTCCAGCCAGGGCGACAGAACTAGACAATGTCTCCAAAAAAAGTAGGGTTTGGGCGTGGTGGCTCACACCTATAATCCTAGCACTGTGGGAGGCCAAGGTGGGCGGATCACCTGAGGTCAGGAGTTCGAGACCAGCCTGACCAACATGGGGAAACCCCATCTCTACTAAAAATACAAAATCAGCTGGGCGTGGTGGCAAGTGCCTGTAATCCCAGCTACTCAGGAGCCTGAGTGAGGCAGGAGAATTGCCTGAACCGGGGAGGCAGAGGTGGTGGTGAGCCAAGATCGCGCCATCGCACTCCAGCCTGGGCAACAAGAGCAAAACCTTGTCTCAAAAAAAAAAAAAAAAAAAAAAAAAAGAATACTTCAGGCCTATAATCCCAGCACTTTAGGAGGCCAAGACGAGCAGATCACTTGAGATCAGAAGTTCAACACCAACTTAGCCAACATGGCGAAAACCCATCTCTACTAAAAATACGAAAGTTAGCTGGGAGTAGTGGTACATGCCTACAATCCCAGCTACTCTGGAGACTGAGGTAGGAGAATCGCTTGAACCTGGGAGGTGGAGGTTGCAGTGAGCTGAGATCCTACCACTGCACTCCAGCCAGGGCGATAGAGTGAGACATCATCTCAAAACAAAAAGGGCAGACGCAGTGGCTGACGCCTGTAATCCCAACACTTTGGGAAGCCAAGGCAGGAGGATCGCTTGAACAAGACCAACCTGGCAACCTGATAAAACCCCATCTCTACAAAAAATCCAAAAATCAGCCAGGCGTGGTGGTGGTGTGCCATAGTTCCAGCTACTCAGGAGACTGAGATGGGAGGATCACTTGAGCCCAGGAAGTAGAGGCTGTGGTGAGCTGAGATTGAGATTACACCGCTGTACTCCAGCCTGGGCAACAGAGCAAAAGGACCCTGTCTCAAAAAAAAAATGAGAGAGAGAGAAGAAAAAGCTCGATGCGGTGGCTCACACCATAATCCCAACCCTTTGGGAGGCTGAGGCAGGCAGATCATCTGAAGTCAGGAGTTCAAGACCACCCTGACCAATATGGCGAACTCCGTCTCTTCTAAAAATATCAAAAATTAGGCAGGCACAGTGGCAGGCGCCTGTAATACCAACTACTTAGGAGGCTGAGACAGGAGAATCGCTTGAAGTCGGGAGGCAGAGATTGCGGTAAGCTGAGATCGTGCCATTGCACTCCAGCCTGGGCAACAAGAGTGAAACTCCGTCTCAAATAAAAAAGAGAGAGAGAGAGAGAGAAAAGAGATTGGCCACAGAGAGGTGAAGCAAGTTGCCCAAGGCAGCTCAGCCTATGAGGTCTGAAGCCCAAGCCAGCGTCTCCTCCAGCCAAACACAAAGGCCTTGTTTGAATTAAGTCACAACGAAGAGTGCTGATTCTCTCACTCCCAACTGATCTCTATGCGCTGTGCTGGAGGGTTGCCTCGCCTATCATCTTCACGTGACTAAGGAGGGCTATTATGCCCATTTCACAGATGCGGAACTGAGGCTCAGAGAGGCTGAGCAATTCACCCGAGGACGCATAACAGGTGAGTGAGAAGCCAGGTGCCATGTGTCTCCTGCTTTAAGCCTCATTGACCTCAGAGGGCAGACAATGAGCCTCTGCTGCCTTGAGGGGGAACAGGGGCGTGACAGAGCACCCAGGTGGGCTTACGGTAGGTGAGCTTATCTAGCCCAGCTGGGCCAGTGTGATAGGCCCGTGGGGAGGCCCCCAGCAGGATCTGAGCCCTTTCTGCCCAAACGGAGAGAAGGAAGTCGTTTTCCCCGTCTGCCTGAGTATGAGCGCACAGCCGGGGCTGGCCAGTCTGCTGGGCACGCCAGGCCTGTGCCCAGGATTCAGTGCAGTGAAGGCCTTCCCAGAGGGCTCCAGCTTGTTTAAAAATCAGAAGAAGGGACCTCCTAAGAATAAATACACAAGAAGGAATCCAGCCTGGCCCGCATCGGTGGTCCCGAGAGGGAGGCCTCCAAAAGAATGAAGACATTTGCACTGGCAGCCCTGGGTCCCCAGCTTGGAGCTTGGAGCCTCTTTACAGTGAGTATGGCTGCTTTCCCTGAGTTTTTCTTTTCTCCTCCTCCTCCTCCTCCTCCTCCTCCTCCTTCTTCTTTTTCCTCTTCCTCCTCTTCTTTTTTTTTTTTGTTTTTTGGAGACAGAGTCTTGCTCTGTCGCCAGGCTGGAGTGCAGTGGCACGATCTCGGTTCACTACAACCTCCGCCTCCCAGGTTCAAACGATTCTCCTGCCTCAGCCTCCTGAGTAGCTGCGATTACAGGTGCCCAACACCACCCCCGGCTAATTTTTTGTATTTTTAGTAGAGATGGGGTTTCACCATATTGGCCAGGTTGCTCTTGAACTCCTGATGTCAGGTGATCCACCTGTCTCGGCCTCCCAAAGTGTTGGGATTACAGGCGTGAGCCACCGCACCCAGCAAAAATACTGTTTTAATTAGCCAGGTGTGGTGGTGCATGCCTGTAGTCCCAGCTACTTGAAAAGCTGAGGCAGGAGGATCCCTTGGGTCCAGGAGTTCAAGGCTGCAGTGAGCTATGACTGTACCACTGCACTCCAGTCTGGGTGACAGACTGAAACCCTGTCTCTAAAATAAGGTAATCAATCAATAAAAATATTTTCGATCATTTCGTGATTGAGGAAGTCCTGGTGTGGATCTCTGCGGGCCACGAGATCACAGCTTGTCCAGGCTGCATTCAGATTCAAGGCCTTTGTGCCTGCTCTTCCCTCACCAGCCTGGGCAACATAGCAAGACCCCATCTCTACAAAAAATACACTCTTTCGGCAGCACACACTCCCCAAATCCAGATGTCTCTTCACCCCCAAATGCCCCTTCCTCCAGGTCAGTGAGGCCACCTCTGGGGGATTATGCAATTGCTGCTCACCCTTCTTGTTCCCTCTTTGGGTTCGTTTGTTTGTTTGGGTTGTTTTGTTTTGTTTTTGTTTTGTTTTCTTTTGAAGACAGAGTTTCCCTGCGCTGCCCAGGCTGGAGTGCAGGGGCATGATCTCAGCTCACTGCAACCTCTGCCTCCCTAGTTCAAGCGATTCTTCGGCATCAGCCTCCTGAGTAGCTGGGATTACAGGCACCCATCACCATGCCTGGCTAATATTTGTTTTTTTTTTTTTTTTTGTTTTGTTTTTTGAGACGGAGTTTCGCTCTCCTTACCCAGGCTGGAGTGCAATGGCGCGATCTCGGCTCACCGCAACCTCCGCCTCCTGGGTTCAGGCAATTCTCCTGCCTCAGCCTCCTGAGTAGCTGGGATTACAGGCACGCGCCACCACGCCCAGCTAGTTTTTTGTATTTTTAGTAGAGACGGGGTTTCACTATGTTGACCAAGATGGTCTCGATCTCTCGACCTCGTGATCCACCCGCCTCGGCCTCCCAAAGTGCTGGGATTACAGGCTTGAGCCACCGAGCCCGGCCAATATTTGTATTTTTAGCAGAGACAGGGTTTCACGATGTTAGCCAGGCTGGTCTCGAACTCCTGGCCTCAAGCAATCCACCTGCCTCAGCCTCCCAAGGTGCTGGGATTACAGGCATGAGCCACTGCTCCTGGGCTCCGTTCTCTCTTTGTTGTTTTTGTTTTCGTTTTGAGAAGGAGTCTCGCTCTGTCGCCCAGGCTGGAGCGCAGGGGTGTGATTTTGGCTCACTGCAACCTCAGAGTCCCAGGTTCGAGCAATTCTTGTGCCTCAGCCTCCCGAGTAGCTGGGATTACAGGTACATACCGCCGCCCTCAGCTAATTTTTGTGTTGTTTTGTTTTATTTTGTTTTCTGGAGATGGAATTTCGCTCTTGTTGCCCAGGCTGGAGTGCAGTGCTGCGATCTTGGCTTACTGCAACCTCCGCCTCCCTGGTTCAAGCAATTCTCCTGCCTGCGCCTCCGAAGTAGCTGAGATTACAGGCGCCTATCACCACGCCCGGCTAACTTTTTATATTTATAGTAGTGATCAGATTTTACTATGTTGGCTGGGCTGGTCTTGAACTCCTGACCTCAGGTGATCTGCCCTCCTCGGCCTCCCAAAGTGCTGGGATTACAGGCGTGTGCCATCGCGCCTGGCCTAATTTTTGTATTTTAATAGAGACGGGGTTTTGCAACGTGGGCCTGGCTGGTCTCAGACTCCTGACTTCAAATGATCCACCCACCTCAGCCTCCCAAAGTGCTGGGATTACAGGTGTGAGCCACCGCGCCTGTCGCCTGTTCCCCCTGTGGAATGGTGTGTTCCTCCTCTTCACGGCTTGATATTTTATAGATGCCAGGAGTTGGCGGGGCCCTGCACCTGTCTCAGTGTCACACCTGTGTCCTCCCAAGGGCAGGCACACAGTCGGCGCTCAATAACGGCTTGCTGGGGGCAAGGCAGGAGCAAGCTGTCCCTGCACCTGTGGCAGCAGCTGCTTTGCTGGACTGCAGACAGGGTGACTGGGCCTGTCCTCGTCCCGCCCCCAGGGCTCACCTGCTTAAGGAAACAGGAACCGCCTCGGGGCATCCAGCCCCGCCCCATTGACGTGGGGACACTGAATCGAAACCCAGCCTCCTGCAGGCGCTGCCACAGCCACCGCAAGGGCCTCGGCCATCCAGGGATCTCCCAGGTAGGTGCCCCGAGAGCCTCAGCCCTCCTCCCAGCCCTCGGGGAGACAGAGCGTGGGAGCCGGGCTAGGCCAGAAGGAGGGACAGGGCTGGTGGGGCCTGGGGTGGTGGGAGGGATTTTCTGGTAGCATAGGGGAGGGCTTCGTGGAGGAGGGGGCATTTGTGGTCACCACTGGAAAGTGGAGCCAGAGTTGGGGAAAGGCAGTCCTGGCAGGAAAACGGCATGAGCAAAGGTGTGGCGAGGCGGGAGAGAGAGCAGGGAGGTCTTTAGGTCTGGAATGTGGGTATCGAGGAAGTAGAGGAGGCCCCTGGCCAGGGTCGGGAGTTTGAATTTCAGCCTGAGTTCTTTCATCACTAGATAGCTGTTTATCAGCAAAGACCCTTGCACCCTCCACCTTGCCAGGCCAGCACCAGGACCCAGAAAACTACAACAACGACTCGAGATCCTTAGGCCCTGATCCTTAGGAGGCCCCGGGCCAGTGGAGACAGCCAGATATACTCTACCTCCATGGGGTCATGGCTGGACCAGAGGGAGGAACAAAGGGGAACACTGGGGACAGAGGGGGTGCAGGGCTTTGTCTGGGGGGAGAGGCAGGAAAGCTGCCTGGAGGAGGGCACATTTTTACTGGGTTTTGAAGGATAAATAGGAGTTCTTCCAAGTAGAAAAAAAAGAATAAGCCTGTCAGCATTATCCCATGCTAGGTCACAATTGGATTCATCAATATTGTATATGTCTCTATACATACAGCACTAACTGACCATTCCTAGGTAAATATCATTATCCCCAGGTTAAAGACAGAAGGACAGGCACAGAGAGAGGTTAAGTGACTTATCTGAGGTCATGCAGTTGCTAAGTGGGGAGCTAGGGTTTGAACCCAGGCCATCTGGCTCCAATTCTGGGCCTTTTTGGTGATGGTGGTGGGGTTTTTTGGGGGATTTTTGTGAGACAGAGTCTCGCTCTGTCACCGAGGCTAGAGGGCTGGAGGGCAGTGGGGCAATCTGAGCTCACTGCAACCTCTGCCACCTGGGCTCAGGTGATTCTCCTGCCTCAGCCTCCCAAGTAGCTGAGACTACAGGCACAAACCGCTGTAATTTTTGTATTTTTATTTTACTTTATCTTATTTATTTATTTAGAGTCGGAGTCTCACTCTGTTGCCCAGGCTGGAGTGCTGCGGCTCGATCTCAGCTCACTACAACTTCCTCCTCGTGGGTTCATGCAATTCTCCTGCCTCAGCTTCTTGAGTAGCTGAGATTACAGGAGTGTGCGACCTCATCCAGATAATTTTTGTATTTTTAGTAGAGATGGGATTTCACCATGGTGGCCAGGCTGGTCTTGAACCCCTGGCCTCAGGCAATCTACCTGTCTTAGCCTCCCAAAATGCTGAGATTACAGGCTTGAGCCACTGTGCCCAGCCTCCAATTCCAGGCTCTTAATCATGTTGTCACCTTGCTTTATTAAACATTTCTTAATAAACCTCAGAATTCCTTCAGGCTGTACCCTAGAGGGTGTGCTTGACATCTGGCTGGAGAAAGTCAATATTGACACAGGGCGCGGTGGCTCAGGCCTGTAATCCCAGCACTTTGGGAGGCTGAGGCGGGTGGATCACAAGGTCAAGAGAACAAGACCATCCTGGCCAATGTAGTGAAATCCTGTCTCTACTAAAACATTAGCTGGGCATGGTGGTGGACGCCTGTAATTCCCAGCTACCTGGGAGGCTGAGGCAGGAGAATTGCTTAAACTCGGGGGGTGAAGGTTGCAGTGAGCTGAGATTGTGCCACTGCACTCCAGCCTGGCGACAGCCAGACTCTGTCTCAAAAAAAAAAAAAAAAAAAAAAAAAAAGTTAATATTGACTACCATTGGTCAACAGACCCTGCCTCCTCTTAGAAACAACCCAGCAAAAAGACCTTTTAAGATAGTGAAAACTTAGATGGGGCCAGGCGCGGTGGCTCACTCCTGTAATCCCAGCACTTTGGGAGGCCAGGGCGGGTGGATCACGAGGTCAAGAGATCGAGACCATCCTGGTCAACATGGTGAAACCCCGTCTCTACTTTAAAAAATACAAAAAATTAGCTGGGCATGGTGGCGCGTGCCTGTAATCCCAGCTACTCAGGAGGCCGAGGCAGGAGAATTGCCTGAACCCAGGAGGCGGAGGCTGCGGTGAGCCGAGATTGCGCCATTGCACTCCAGCCTGGGTAACAAGAGTGAAACTCCATCTCAAAAAAAGAAAAACAAAGTTAGATGGGGCCAGTGGGTAGGGGGAGTGAGCTCCAGTTTGAGAACAGAATTTAGGGTGAGTGGCCAGGCGCGGTGGCTTACACCCATAATCCCAGCACTTTGGGAGGTCAAGGCAGGTGGATCACTTGAGGTCAAGAGTTCAAGACCAGCCTAGCCAACATGGTGAAACTCCATCTTTTCTAAAAATACAAAAATGAGCCAGGTGCCGCATGCCTGTCATTTCAGCTATTCAAGAGGCTAAGGCAGGTGAATTGCTTGAACCTAGGAGGCAGAAGTTGCAGTGAGCTGAGATCGCACCACTGCACTCTAGCCTCGGCGACAAAGCGAGACTCCATCTCAAAAAAAAAAAAAGGGGGTGAGCAGGCTGGGCGCAGTGGCTCAGGCTTGCCCCTATAATCCCACCGCTTGGCAAGGCCGAGGCAGGCAGATCACCTGAGGTCAGGAGTTTGAGACCAGCCTGGCCAACGTGGAGAAACCCTCTCTCTAAAAAAAAAGAAAAAAGAAAGAAAAAGGGTGAGCAAGGGGGATCTTGAAGGAACTATCTAGCAAGATACAATCTTTGGCTCATTTTACATTCACTTAATTCTGTTTTGCAAAACAGTGCTGCCTTCTCTCTTTCTCCAGCTTTGTCATTGACGCTCAAAGTCCCGTGGTACCTCTTGCTTAAAATTATCAAGAAAGTGTGTGAATTAATGATGCACCTGACACATCGTAGGTGTGCCGTCAGTGGCTACTACGTGTGGTGATGTTGGTGGTGGAAGCAACTGTCCGGAGCCACATTTTTCTGGTGTTTAATGAAACCAAGGCAGCCAGGCACAGTAGCTCATGCCTGTAATCCCAGTACATTAGGAGGCTGAGATGTAAGCATCACTTGAGCCCAGGAGTTCGAGGCCAGCCTGGACAACATAGCAAGACCCCGTCTCTACAAAAAATTTTTAAAATTAGGCAGGCCCATCGTCCCAACTACTCAGAAGGTTGAGGTGGGAGGATTGCTTGAGCCTGGGAGGTTGCAGCCGCAGTGAGCGTGAGCTGTGATTGCAGCACTGCACACTCCAGCCTGGGCAACAGAGGGAAATCCTGTCTCAAAAAAAAAAAAAAAACACACACACACACACACAGAAAGGGCCACGTGCAGTGGCTCACGCCTGTAATTCCAACATTTTGGGAGGCCGGGTGGATCACAAGGTCATGAGATCGAGACCATTCTGGCCAACATGGTGAAACCCTGTCTCTACTTAAAAAAATACAAAAATTAGCTGGGCTTGGTGGCACGCGCCTGTAGTCCCAGCTACTCGGGAGGCTGAGGCAGGAGAATCCCTTGAAGCTGAGAGGCGGAGGTTGCAGTGAGCCGAGATCGTGCCACTGTATTCCATCCTGGGCAACAAGAGTGAAACTCTGTCTCAAAGAGAAAAAAGAAACCAGGGCAAGCCTTTTTTTTTTTTTTTATGAGACAGAGTTTCGCTCTTGTTACCCAGACTGGAGTGCAATGGCGCGATCTCCGCTCACCGCAACCTCCGCCTCCTGGGTTCAGGCAATTCTCCTGCCTCAGCCTCCTGAGTAGCTGGGATTACAGGCACGTGCCACCATACCCAGCTACTTTTTTGTATTTTTAGTAGAGACGGGGTTTCACCATATTGACCAGGATGGTCTCAATCTCTTGACCTCGTGATCCACCCGCCTCGGCCTCCCAAAGTGCTGGGATTATAGGCTTGAGCCACCGTGCCCGGCCAAGGCAAGCCTTTTTGACACCCACTACTATTGGGTCGGATATTTTGTTCCTTCACTTGCCCCTTTGCCATTTCCTTATTCCTCTGGGGGCATTGCTATTCACTTCATATTTAAATACTCTGTTCTTAAATTTCAAAAGATTTATTTATAAAAGGAACTTTCTAGTCCTTGCAATAAAGGCATAACAGGCAGGGCACAGTGGCTCACGCCTGTAATCCAAGTACTTCGGGAGGCTGACACAGGCGGATTGCTTGAGTCCAGGAGTTTGAGACCAATGTGGCCAAGAAGGCAAAACCCTATCTCTACAAAAAATACAAAAATTATCCAGGCATGGTGGCACATGCCTGTGGTCCCAGCTACTTGGAGGACTGAGGTGGGAGAATCACTTGAGCCAGGAAGATTGAGGCTGTAGTGAGCCAAGGTGTCCAGCCTGGGCGACAGAGTGAGCTCCTGTCTCAAAAAAGAGAACGGGAAAGGGAAAAGGAGAGGAGAGGGACACAATGGCACAAGAAGAATAAAAGGAAAAATCCTTGAAGGACATTGGGGAGGAGCCGATGAATGAATGTCTAAAAAGTACCAGGCACATAGTAGGTGCTCAAGAAATACAAGACAGATTTTTGTTTGTTTTTGTGTTTTGTTGTTTTGGTTTGATTTTTTGGATTTTTGAGATGGAGTCTCACTATGTTGCCCAGGCTGGAGTGCAGTGGGGCAATCTTGGCTCACTGCAACCTCCGCCTCTCAGGTTCAAGGGATTCTCGTGCCTCAGCCTCCCAAGTAGCTGGGATTACAAGCATGTGCAGCCACTCCTGGCTAATTTTTGTATTTTTAATAGAGATGGGGTTTCACCATGTTGCCCAGGCTGGTCTTGAACTACTGACCTCAGGTGATCCACCTGTCTTGACCTCCCAAAGTGCTGGGATTATAGGCGTGAGCCACCATGCCCAGCTACACAAGCTGGTGTTTTTGCTTGTTTGTTTTTGAACAAACAGAAAGCCTTGCTCTGTTCCCCAGACTGGAGTACAGTGGCACAACCACGGCTCACTGCAGCCACAGCCTCCCGAGCTCAAGGGATCCTCCCACCTCAGCCTCCTGAGTAGCTGGGACTACAGGCATACACTACCACACCCAGCTAATTTTTTAATTTTTTTTTTTTTGAGAATGAGTCTCACTCTGTGGCGTGATCTCGGCTCACTGCAACCTCCATCCCCGGGTTCAAGTGATTCTCCTGCCTCAGCCTCCCAAGTAGCTAGGATTACAGGCATCTACTACAATGCCCGGCTAATTTTTGTATTTTTAGTAGAGATGGGGTTTCACCATATTGGCCAGGCTGGTCTCAAACTCCTGACCTCAGGTGATCTGCCTGCCTCAGCCTCTCAAAGTGCTGGGATTAAAGGTGTGAGCCACCGTGCCTGGCCAAATTTTTAATCTTTTTTTTGTAGAGATGGGATCTCACTGTGTTGCCCAGGCTGGTCTGGAACTCCTGGGCTCAGGCAGTCTACATCCCCTTGCCCTCCCAAAGTGCTGAGATTATAGGCGTGAGCCACGGCACCTGGCCCTCACAAGCCAGTTTTAAGCCCATTGCTCTGTCCAGGCCTGGAGGACTTCTCAGAGGAAGAGGCACCACAAGCTGCAAGAATAAGAGCAAAATGAGAGGTGCATCAAGCTTGATTCTTGTCTTCCCTCCCTTCGCTACCCAGGTGACCTTCGCCCCACCCCAGGAAGCCATGACAGAGGCCAGGAAGCTGCCCCCACCACTGCCCCCTCGACTGGACTGGTTTGTGCACACCCAGGTGGGCCAGCTGGCCCAAGACGTGATCCCTGAGTGGTTCCATGGTGCAATCTCAAGAGAGTGAGGACATCCCCACGCCCTCCCCCGGTCCATCCACCTCTCTCCTTGTCTGCCCCTGCTCTGGGCAAGTTTTAACTGCACAGTTCTGGGCTTGGCTCAGCTCAGTGTGGCAAGAGGCTAAATGAGCTCCGGACTCCCAGGCTTGAATCCCATCACCTCTGCGGGCTCACTGTGTGACCTGGGGCAAGTTCCTTGCCCTCTCTGGGCCTCAGCTTCCTCTGTATAAATGGCCGAAAGGCCAGCACTGCCAGGGACCTGGCAGCACCCAAACCTCGCCCAGGCCTGGCATTACCAATCAATGATGGCAGAATGCAGCCTCCGAATCTTTCTTCTTCTTCCTTTTTTTTTTTTTTGAGACGGAGTTTCGCTCGTGTTACCCAGGCTGGAGTGCAATGGCACGATCTCGGCTCACCGCAACCTCCGCCTCCTGGGTTCAGGCAATTCTCCTGCCTCAGCCTCCTAAGTAGCTGGGACTACAGGCACGCGCCACCATGCCCAGCTAATGTTTTGTATTTTTAGTAGAGACGGGGTTTCACCGTGTTGACCAGGATGGTCTCGATCTCTTGACCTCGTGATCCACCCGCCTCGGCCTCCCAAAGTGCTGGGATTACAGGCGTGAGCCATCGCGCCCGGCCTTTTTTTTTTTTTTGAGACAGGATCTCACTCTGTCACCCAGGCTGCAGTGCAGTGGCGCAGTCTTGGCTCACTGTAACCTCTGCCTCCCGAGTTCAAGTGATTCTTCCGCCTCACTTCCAAGTAGCTGTGAGTACAGGCATATGCCACCACACCCGGCTAATTTTTGTATTTTTAGTGGAGACAGGGTTTCACCATGTTGGCCAGGCTGGTCTCGAACTCCTGATCTCAAGTGATCCACCCGACTCAGCCTCCCAAAGTGCTGGGATTACAGGCGTGAGCCACCGTGCCCGGCCAGAATCTTTCTGAACACCGTATCCCAAGCAGCTGCTCTTAACCCATCAAGATACAACCAAGGTACCCTTTCTTTTTTTGAGACAGCGTTTCACTGCTGTCGCCCAGGCTGAAGTGCAGTGGTGTGATCTCGGCTCACTGCAACCTCCGCCTTCTGGGTTCATGCAATCCTCCTGCCTCAAGAGCACCTGGGACTATAGACACGCGCCACCACGCCTGGCTAATATTTGTATTTTTAGCAGAGATGGGGTTTCACTATGTTGGCCGGGCTGGTCTCGAACTCCTGGCCTCAAGTGATCTGCCTGCCTCAGCCTCCCAAAGTGTTGGGATTATAGGCGTGAGCCACTATGCCTGGCCCCGGTGTGTCCTTTCTACCTCAGACCGTGTGAGCTCTGAGGATGTGGGCACAGCCCTAACTGAATGGAGAAAAAAACATTTATTGCCACTCTCTGTATGCAGGAAATTGAGAAAATTCTGTGAAGGCCACAGAGAGGAAGTAGCGTTGGTCATGGTTTCTGAGCTCTGGGGCCTCACTATCCAACAGAAATGAGCTGCACATTGCAATTTAAATAAATTTTAGTAGCTATGTTAAAAGAAGCAGCTGGGCGCAGTAGTAATACGTTTAGTGCCAGCTACTTGGGATGCTGACGCAGGAGGATTGCTTGAGCCCAGGAGTTCAAGGCTGGTCTGGACAACATAGCGAGGCTCCGTCTCTAAAAGGAATTTTAGGCTGGGTGCAGTGGCTCACACTTGTAATCCCATCACTTTGGGAGGCTGAGGCAGGCAGATCACCTGAGGTCAGGAGTTCGAGACCAGCCTGGACAACATGGTGAAACCTTGTCTCTATTAAAAATACAAAACACTAGCTGAGTCTGGTTGCATGTACCTGTAATCCCAGCTACTTGGGAGGCTGAGACAGCAGAATCACTTGAACCTGGGAGGTGGAGGTTGCAGTGAGCCAAGATCACGCCATTGCACTCCAGCCTGGGCAACAAGAGCAAAACTCTGTCTCAAAAAAAAAAAAAGGGAGAGAGAGCCGGGCGCGGTGGCTCAAGCCTGTAATCCCAGCACTTTGGGAGGCCAAGGCGGGTGGATCACGAGGTCAAGAGATCAAGACCATCCTGGTCAACATGGTGAAACCCCATCTCTACTAAAAATACAAAAAATTAGCTGGGCGTGGTGGCACGTGCCTGTAATCCCAGCTACTCAGGAGGCTGAGGCAGGAGAATTGCTTGAACTCAGGAGGCGGAGGTTGCGGTGAGCCGAGATCGCGCCATTGCACTCCAGCCTGGGTAACAAGAGCGAAACTCCGTCCCCGCCCCCCCTCAAAAAAAAAGGGAGAGAGAGAGAGAGAATAATAGTAAGAATAATAGCAAACATTTTGGGAGCACTGACCAGGCAGCAGCTGTCATACTTAGGTTGCAAGTTCTTCCTGTTCTCACAGCAGCCGTGGAAGTGGGTTTTACTTTCCCCTTGACGCTGAAGTTCAGAAGGGGATAGACAATTGGCTGAAGTCACGCAGCTGATGGACGGGAGAGCTGGGTTTTGAACTTGAATGCATCTGAGTATACAGTTCCTTCTTTGCTATCTGTGACACCTTGATCTACCCAAAGCCGCCTTAATCGGGAGATCGCAGGCATTGGGAAGGCAGGCAGGTGCTGTGGGAGATGGGAGGAGGTCTGGCCTGGGGTCAAGGTCATCAGAGGCCTCCTAGGTCCTCTGTGGTAACATCCCTAGTCCATGAATAGCTCAGGGTCTGCAACAACTGAAAAAAAAGATGGGCTTGGGGTGTTTGTTCATTTAGAAAACAGGCCAGCTGTAATCCCAGCACTTTAGGAGGCCAAGGCGGGTGGATCAGTTGAGGCCAGGAGTTTGAGACCAGCCTGGTCAACATAGCGAAACCCCATCTCTACTAAAAATACAAAAATTAGCCGGGTGTGTTGGTGGGCACCTGCAATCCTAGCTACTCGGGAAACTGAGGCAGATACTTTCTTGAAGTTGGGGGGCGGAGGTTGCAGTGAGCTGAGATCACACTACTGTGCTCTAGCCTGGGTGACAGAGTGAGACTCCATCTCAAAAAAATAAATAAATAAATAAAATAAAACAGGCCGGGCACAGTGGCTCACACCTGCAATCCCAGCACTTTAGGAGGCTGAGGCCGGTGGATCACCTCAGGACAGGCGTTTGAGACCAGCCTGGCCAACATGGTGAAACCCTGTCTCTACTAAAAATACAAAAAATAGCTGGGCATGGTGACGGGCGCCTGTAATCCCAGCTACTTGGGAGGCTGAGGCAGGAGAATCGCTTGAACCTAAAGGCCGAGGTTGCAGGGAGCCGAGATCGCACCATTGCACTCCAGCCTGGTGACAGAGCGAGACTGTCTCAAAAAAAAAAAATAATAATAATAATAAAAGAAAAATGAAAACTACCAGTCTTCTGCATGAATGGCCCCATGGCCCCAGGAGTCTGACTGGCACATGGGGCGGCTGGACTGTGTCATTTCCTTTCTGTGTGTGCCCTTCCAGGGAGGCTGAGAACCTGCTGGAGTCACAGCCACCAGGATCCTTTCTCCTCAGGGTCAGCCACAGCCACGTGGGCTACACACTCTCCTACAAGTAAGGCCTGGGCCAGGGGCCAGGGCAGGGGCAGGTGGGCTCTGGGGCTTCCTTGGAGGGGGAAAGGGGTTACTGCTTCTCAGAGAGCGGCAGCAACTGAGGCTGTGGGTCTGAGAAGCGGGACTGCTGGGGACCTGAGATTGGCTGGCGGCTTCTCTCCCTCCACCCCTCACAATCTAATTAGTGATTCCCAGACTGTGTGTTAGGGAAACCCAGGGAAGCCCAGCTCCTTAAGACCTGGAAGCCAGACAAATCCAGAGGATTCCAGGCCAAAGGAATAAAAACCCAGTGGCTCAATTTTTACAGTTACCCACAGTGGGAAAAGCTTATCCAAGGCTCAGCTCTGCCATTACATGCTGTGTGACCTTAGACAAGCTACTCAACCTCTCTGTGCCTCCAGTAAAGGAATGTCACATTTTAATTCAGTGTATTCATGTGAGGATTAAATGAGATGCAGTCAGCACATACAGTGACATTAATATACATTTATTGGTTAACTGGGCATTTCTTTCTTTTTTTTTTTTTGAGATGGAGTTTCGTTCTTGTTACCCAGGCTGGAGTGCAATGGCGCGATCTCGGCTCACTGCAACCTCCGCCTCCTGGGTTCAGGCAATTCTCCTGCCTCAGCCTCCCGAGTAGCTGGGAATACAGGCGCGTGCCACCATGCCCAGCTAATTTTTGTATTTTTAGTAGAGACAGGGTTTCACCATGTTGACCAGGATGCTCTGGATCTCTGGACCTCGTGATCCACCCGCCTCGGCCTCCCAAAGTGCTGGGATTATAGACGTGAGCCACTGTGCCAGGCCTACTGGGCATTTCTTGAGTACTTGCTGTGTGCCAGACACACAGCCTTAGGCTGGAGCTTTCTTTCTTTTTCTTTTTTTTCTTTTGAGACAGAATCTCATTCTGTCACCCAGGCTGGACTGCAGTGGTGTCATCTCGGCTCACTGCAACCTCCGCCTTCCAGATTCAAGCGATTCTCCTGCCTCAGTCTCCCCAGTAGCTGGGATTACAGGCACCTGCCACTATGCCTGGCTAATTTTTGTATTTTTAGCAGAGATGGGGTTTCACCATGTTGGCCAGGCTGGCCTCGAACTCCTGGCCTCAAGTGATCCACCAGCCTCAGCCTCCCAAAGTGTTGGGATTACAGGCGTGAGCCACCGTGACCAGCTTTCATTATCGTTTCTATTGATTATTTACCGATAGCCAGGCAATGAATTAAGCTTTTGCCTGTAGTAACATGTTTGATCTGAAGTTGGCCTTTGTAGCCCTATGTTATAAATGGGGGAAACTGAGGCACAGTGAGGTTAGTAACCTGCTGGGTGTTGAATGGCTAATGAGTGAAGAAGCCTGCACGGGAACCTGGCATAGTCTGGCTGTAGCAGTGGCGCTGCCAGCCCAAGGGCTGGGGACTTGGAGCAGGGATGAGGGCGAGTGGCATGTTCTAGCCCTCACAGTGTCTCTGCAGAGGCCAAAGCAGCTGCTGCCATTTCATGGTGAAGCTCTTGGATGATGGGAGTTTCATGATCCCCGGGGAGAAGGTGGCCCACACCTCGCTAGACGCCCTGGTCACCTTCCACCAGCAGAAGCCAATTGAGGCGCTCGGGGAGCTGCTGACACAGCCCTGCAGGCAGGTGAGGGCGGGGACGCATGTGGCTCACAGCCATCTCCTTGGGGCCCAGCCCCCCGGACCCCTTTGCTCCACACATCTCCATCAGCTCCTCTTGATTCTGTCACTCTCATGGTCCTTGGCCCCTCCAGCTCCACCCCTCCTAGTCCCTCTGCCCCCCACGGCCATGTCCCTTGTGGTCCCCGATTCCCCATCGCTTCACCCTCCAGGCCCATGTCAACAGCTGATTTTTTTTTTTACAAGGGTTCATGTGCCAGGTATAATCTTGGCTCCAATGAAGGAACAGCATCTTTCCTTAGAAGGCTTAGTGGGTGTGACCTGGCTCCAAATAAACTTTCCTTAGAAGGCTCAGTGGGCTTGCCCTGGTTCCCAATAAACTGCTGAGGGCGGGGCATTTTTCCTTAGAAGCCTCAGTGGGTGTGGCCTGTAAACCCCCAGTAAACTGCTGTGAGCAGGGCACGTTTCCTTAGAAGATCCAGCAGTGGGGCCGGGCGCGGTGGCTCACGCCTGTAATCCCAGCACTTTGGGAGGCCGAGGCGGGTGGATCACGAGGTCAGGAGAGCAAGACCATCCTGGTCACATGCTGAAACCCCGTCTCTACTAAAAATACAAAAAATCAGCTGGGCATGGTGGTGTGTGCCTGTAATCCCAGCTACTCAGGAGGCTGAGACAGGAGAATTGCCTGAACCCAGGAGGCGGAGGTTGCGGTGAGCCGAGATCACGCCATTGCACTCCAGCCTGGGTAACAAGAGTGAAACTCTGCCTCAAAAAAAAAAAAAAAGAAAGAAAGAAAGAAAAGAAAAGAAAAAGAAAAAAAAGAAGATCCAGCAGTGGACATGGCCTAGCCGCCTAGCCCCTAAGAAACTGCTGAGGGCGGGGTATCTTTCCTTGGAAGGCTCAGTGGGTGTGGCCTAGCTCTGAAGACACTGCTGTGGGTGGGGCATCTTTCCTTAGAAGGCATGATAGGCGTGGCTAGCTCCCAAGAAACTGTTGTGGGTGGGGCATCTTTCCTTAGAAGGTTCAGTGGGCGTGGCCTGCCCCCAGAAACTCCTGTGAGCGGGGCATCTTTCCTTAGAAGTCTCAGTAGGTGTGTCACAACCCCTAAGAAATGGCTGTGGGTGGGGCATATTTTCTTATAATGCTTAGTGGATATGGCCTAGGTACTAAGAAACTGCTATTCAAAGGACAGTCCCTGAGACCTGCCTTCCAGGGTCGGTCTAGGACCTTTCCCCCTCCCTAGTACTGAGATACAGCCCCTTCTGCCCTGCAGAAGGATCCCGCAAATGTGGACTACGAGGATCTCTTCCTCTACTCCAACGCAGTGGCCGAGGAAGCAGCCTGCCGGGTGTCTGCGCCTGAGGAGGTATGTATATGACAGGAGGCTGGCACCTCCCACCTGGCGGAGGGGCAGGAGCAGAGGTGGCCAACAGCTGCTAGAGGAGGCTCCTTCCCGAATGAGAATTAGATCCTACAGCTTGGTGCTTTAAACCTTTCCAGTGATTTCCCAACACTGAGATTAAAATTCAAACTGCAGGCTGGGCACGGTGGCTCATGCCTGTAATCTCAGCACTTTGGGCGGCTGAGGCGGGTGGATCGTGAGGTCAGGAGTTCAAGACTAGCCTGGCCAACATGGTGAAATCCCATCTCTACTAAAAATGCAAAAATTAGCCAGGCATGGTGGCGAACGCCTATGATCCCAGATACTCAGGATGCTGAGGCAGGAGAATCGCTTGAACCTGGGAGGTGGAGGTGAGCCGAGATCATGCCACTGCACTCCAGCCTAGGCAACACAGCAAGACTCTGTCTCCCCCCCCCCAAAAAAAAGAGATTAAACTGCAATCTCAGTTCCTCTTTCTGCCTGTCACCTACCCAGCGCCAGCCCTGCTGTCGTACCATCTGCTGTCAGACACAGCAAGCTAGCTCAAGGTCTCTGCACGTGCTGGTCCCACCTCAGGTCCTTTGCACAAACTCTGTGCCTTCCCCCTAGATTTCCCATGTCTTCATTCAGTTCTTCAAGTGCCTCCTTCCCCAGGCTCCAGACCTAAAGCAATGCCTTCTACATTCTCCTTCACATTATCCTGTTTATTCACTGCAGCAACTTCCTAAAAATGTTCCCCCAAATCCTGTCTACTTATGGACTTGCATGCGCCCTGGCTGCCTCCCCCATCAGACTGTGAGCTCTGAGAGACCAGAGAATCCATCCGGCTTGTTTGCCTCTGCTTTTCCCACCCCTCTGAGAGGACCTGCCATATTGAAGGTGCTTAACTAAGGACTCTGTGAAGTAGATGAATGAATGTATTACAGCATCTTGGGGCTTGGGAGACCTTTAGGGACCCCTGGACTGAAGCCTAAGTGTCCTCCAAGCCCCCTGCCCAGCAGGGGAAGTTGTGACAGTGGTACAAATGAAACAGGCTGGTGTGATGGACATCAGTGGAGGGGCAGAGTGCAAGTGGGAGAAGGCAGTCAGGGAAGGCTTCCTAGAGGAGGTGGCATACAGCTGAGATGTACGGGTGAGGAGGAGCCAGTCAAATACACAGACACAGGGAGGACATTCCAGGCAGAGGGAATGGTGCTTGCAAAAGTCCTGGGGCTTGGTTGTTTGGAAAACAGAACAATAAAAGCCAGCATAGAGATGGAGTGGAGTTAGTGAGAGAGAGAGAGAAAGAGAAAGAGATTGGCAGAAGCTGAAGCCTCAGGCTCAGCAGGGACCTATTTGGGATTCTATTCCAGTTGCACCAGGGAGCCATAAGAAGGTGTATTCGTGGAGGGACTGGTGTTTTGTTTGTTTGTTTTGAGACGGAGTGTTGCAATGTCACCCAGGCTCGAGTGCAATGGCATAGTCTAGGCTCACTGCAACCTCCGCTTCCCAGGTTCAAACAATTCTCGTGCCTCAGCCTCCTGAGAGGCTGGGATTACAGGCATCGGCCACCACACCCGACTAATTTTTGTATTTTAGTAGAGATGGGGTTTCGCCATGTTGGCCAGGCTGGTCTCAAACCCCTGACCTCATTCATGATCCACCCATCTCGGCCTTCCAAAGTGCTGGGATTACAGGCATGAGCCACGGCGCCCGGCCGGGGCTGGTGGTTTTAAATGTTTCCTGTGGCTACTTGGTGCAGAAGGGGCTTTTGGGGGCACTGGTGGAGATGGAAAGAAGGAGGAAGTGGGGTCAGGGTGGGGAACAGTGCCAAGGTGGGGTGAGAATGAGAGCCCAGGGGTGGTGGAAAGAGAAGTAGATATTTGGTCTGCAGTGGTGGCTCGTACCTGTAATCCGAGCGCTTTGGGAGGCTGAGCCAGGAGGACTGCTTGAGGCCAGGAGTTTGAGACCAGCCTGGGCAACATAGCCAAACCCTGCCTCCACAAAAAGTTAAAAAATTAGCCAGACATGGTGGCACACGTCTGTAGTCAGCTACTCTGGGGGCTGAGGTGGGAGGAATCAGGAGGTGGAGGCTGCAGGGACCCATGACTGCACCACTGCACTCCAGCCTGGATGACAAAGCAAGACCCTGTCAAAAAGAAAAATTTGTAGAGATGGGGTCTCACTACATTGCCCGGGTTGGTCTCAAACTCCTGGCCCCAGACAATCCTCCTGCCTCAGCCTCCCAAAGCACTGGGATTATAGGCATGAGCTATCATGCCTAACCCCGCATTTTTGTAAAGATAGTATTTCATAACCTGTGAATATCAGATGAAATTCAAAGGTCCATATTTATAAATAAAGCTATATTAGAAACCAGGTTATGCTCATTGGTTGACATGTAATCTCTGGCATCCCCCTACAACAGCAGAGCTAAGTAATTGAGGCAGATGGTACAGCCTGCAAAGCTGAAATATCTACTCTCTGACCCTTTGTAAAAGAAGTTTGCCAGGCCAGGTGCAGTGGCTCAAGCCTGTAATCCCAGCACTTTGGGAGGCTGAGGCGGGTGGATCACGAGGTCAAGAGATCGAGACCATCCTGGTCAACATGGTGAAACCCCGTCTCTACTAAAAATACAAAAAATTAGCTGGGCGTGGTGGCGCTTGCCTGTAATCCCAGCTACTCAGGAGGCTGAGGCAGGAGAATTGCCTGAACCCAGCAGGTGGAGGTTGCGGTGAGCCGAGATCGCGCCATTGCACTCCAGCCTGAGTAACAAGAGCGAAACTCCATCTCAAAAAAAAAAAAAAAAGAAATTTGCCAACAAGCCAGGTGTGGTGGCTGACACCTATAATTCTAGCACTTTGGGAGACTGAGGCAGGCAGATCACTTGAGGTCAGGAGTTTGAGACCAGCCTGGGCAACATGGAGAAACCCATCTCTACTAAAAATACAAAATAAAATTAGCCGGGCATGGTGGCGCATGCCTGTAATCCCAGCTACTCGGGAGGCTGAGGCAGGAGAATCGCTTGAACCCGGGCAGTGGAAGTTGCGATGAGCCCAGATCATGCCATTGCACTCCAGCCTGGGCAACAAGAGCAAAACTCCATCTAAAAAAAAAAAAAAGAAGAAGTTTGCCAACCCCTGAGCGAGACAGTGAGACAAAAGCCATTTACCGAGATGAGAAGGATGGGGAACGGGATCAGATTTGGGAGTTCGCATGGGGACGTTGCTCAGCCCCGGGGCGTCTGGGTGGAAGCCTGACTCCAATGTCTGGAGCAAATGTGGTGCTTTGGTGGGCGAACTGCCCCGGGCCTCACCGGGCTCTCATTTTCAGCCCTCCTCAAAGCCAGTCCTGCTTCACCAATCAAAGGAAAGGAAGCTGTCAGCAGAGACGAGCAGAATAGCCACCGAGGAAGCCACTTCCTCCTGCCCCCCAAAAGCCCCTCTTGGAGAGGCCCGTCAGAAACTCTGGAGGAACCTCAAAATGCTCCCCGAGAGAGGCCAGAGGGTCCGGCAGCAGCTGAAAACCCACCTCGCCACTGTGAACTTGTCATCACTCTTAGGATGTCCGGAGATCCACGATGACCTCAGGGCCTGGGACCAGAAAAGGCAGCCAAGAACCGTCAGGGGACACCACCGTAGGGGACAGAGTCTACACAGACCCCTTTGTGGCCACGTCCCTTGAAAACCCCTCAGAGCCTCAGGCGCCAAAAGACAGAAAGATTCCCACCAGGAAGGCCGAGAGGTCGGCCAGCTGCAATGAGGTGAATTCAGGGCGCAGGAGTTGGCACCAAATGATAGTGAGGGCTCTATCCTTCCAGGAGTCCAAGCCCGAGTGCCAGGGCTTGGCAGAGCCTGAGAATGACCAGCTCCCAGAGGAGTACCAACAGCCGCCGCCCTTTGCCCCTGGGTACTGCTAGAGAAGGGGTCCCCCCCCCGGCTCTGGGACTCTTGGTGCCAGGGGCTTGCCACACTCCTGGATGTACCTAACATTTCTACCATGTCCCCAGACCATGGCATTCGGGAGTCTTCAGGAACCCGGGAAATGGAATAAAGACGCTTTGGGAGTCTGTTCCTACAGTCACCCGTGGGGTGAGCTGGTTATTTTAGCAATAATCATCAGAGTGATCCTGATGGTTTGGGGTACCTCCTGTCCATCGGCCCCTGTACCGGACCCACTGTATCCATTATTTTATATCCCAGAACAAGCCCCTTAGGTAGGATTATCCTCCATGTTTTGAAGAAGAGACTGAGGTTCAGAGAGGAGAAGAGGCGTGAGCAAGGCTACAGAGCTAGTGGGTGTTGGCAGCCAGGATTTGAAGCCAGGTGAATCACCGAGTCCTCTTCCCACGTCATCCATTTGTTCTGTTGTCTAAAAGCACACTGCATGCCGGGTGAGGCGGCGCACGCCTGTAATCCCAGCACTTTGGGGGGTCGAGGTAGATGGATCGTTTGAGGCTAGGAGTTCGAGACCAGCCTGGCCAACATGGTGAAACCCCGTCTCTACTAAAAATAAAAAATTAGCCAGTTGTGGTGGCGGGCACCTGTAATCCCAACTACTCGGGAGGCTGAGGCAGGAGAATCGCTTGATCCTGGGAGGCTGAGGTTGCAGTGAGCCCAGATCATGCCACTGCACTCCAGCCTGGGCAACAGAGCAAGTCTCTGGGGAAAAAAAAAAAATAATAAAAAAAAGAAGGCAGGGGCTGAAGGAGGCATCACAGGGCTGTGCCTGGTGGAGGGCTCTGGAGAGAATCCTTGGTTGTGGGACTGTGTGACCTTTGGCAAGTCTAGACATATCTGGATGGACTTTCTTTTTTCTTTTTTTTTTTTTTCCTTGTTTTTGAGACACAGTCTAACTCTGTCGCCCACGCTGGTGTGTAGTGCCACAATGTCAATTCATTGCAACCTCCACCTCCCCGTTCAATTGATCCTCCTGCCTCTGCCTCCCAAGTAGCTGGGATTATAGGCGCGCACCACCACGCCTGGCTAATTTTTGTATTTTCAGTAGAGGCTGGGTTTCACCATGCTGGCCAGGCTAGTCTCGAACTTCTGACCTCGGGTATTCCACCCGCCTCGGCCTCCCAAAGTGCTGGGATTATAGGCATGAGCCACTGTGCCCGGCCTATTTATTTATTTATTTATTTAGAGACAGCGTCTTGCTCTATTGCCCAGGCTGGAGTGCAGTGGCACGATCTCCAGTCACTACCACCTCCCTCTCCTGGGCTCAAGCAATCCTCCCTCCTCAGCCTCCCAAGTAGCTGGGACTACAGGTGTGCACCACAGCACCCTGCTCATTTTTGTATTTTTTGGCAGAGGTGGGATTTCGCCATGTCACCCAGGCTGGTCTTGAATTCCTGGGCTCGGGTGATCTGCCTGCCTCGGCCTCCCACAGTGCTGAGACTGCAGGCTTGAGCCACCACATCCAGCCCAGTAGCTGCTTAATTAATTAGGGGTTTAGAATGGGAGCAAGGACTCTAAATGTGACATACCATACAGTGGAGGTGTCTGGAAGGTCCCTAGGGGCTGGTGGTCTTGGTTGCAGGAGTGAGCATTCCTTGGACCGACTAGGGCATAGATGGGAGCCCTGGGACAACCCCAGGTGGAGGGGGCGTGGGGTTCCCCAAATTACAAGGTGGGATCCGGTATGAGGGCCACCTGGCTTCAAGCCTGCCCCTGCAAATGACTTGTGATATGGCCTTAGGTAAGTCTGTCTCCTCCCTCCAAATGAGGGCATGATCTTCAGGCCAACCCTGCAGGGTTGTTATAGGGGGTCAGTGTCACGGCAGGGGGCAGATGCATCATAAACTGTAAAGTGAGGTGCCCACCTCAGTGAATAACATTCCCACCCCTCCCCATCAGACGCCTCCTCTTGGCAGCTCTAGTGAATCAGCCAGGAGTAAGTTTCAGTCCCTTTGATGCCTCAGGGATTGAGGAATAAACAACTTGAGGTGTATGGTGGCTCACACCTGTAATCCCAGCCCCTTGGGAGGCTGAGGCGAGCAGATCACCTGAGGTTGGGAGTTTGAGACCAACCTGGCCAACATGTCGAAACCCCATCTCTACTAAAAATACAAAAGTTAGGCAGGCCTGGTGGTAGGTGCCTGTAATCCCAGCTACTCAGGAGACTGAGGCAGGAGAGTCGCTTGAACCCGGGAGGTAGAGGTTGCAGTGAGCTGAGATCACAGCACTGCAGTCCAGCCTAGGCTACAGAGTGAGACTGTCTCAAAATAATAATAATAAGTAATAATAAGGTACTTGAGCAGTCACAGGTGAGGTTTGGCCTTCGGAGTGGGACCCCTAGGATAGGACAGCATGGGCCCAACCTCCCCACCTCATCTCCACCACGGACACCCACAACCAACAAGGCATTTCCAACCTTCACAGTGAAGACGATCTGGGAGTCACCCCTTCCTTGTACAAACAGGGAGATCATGGCCCAGAGACGGTGTGGCCATACCCAGGGTCACACAGCAAAGTCAAAGATAAGATTCTAGGCTGCCTCCCTCCCATCTTCCAGTTTTAAGGTAGGAAAATGTGTCCTCCCAGCAGGCACGACGACTCGGTAACTTGTGTTTATTCCCAGAAACCGGAGTCCACAGTGGGTGAGGGGTCACCCGCCCTCCTGTAGCCGTCTTTTCTGTGGCACCATCAGATTCGGATGTGGAAGGTGCTGTGCACAGAGAGAAAAGGACTCAGTGCCTTCGCGGAGTGGACAGTCCCTCTTCCTCCTCCTCGTCAACATGCTCAGGGACAGGCAGGAAGGATGCCATGTGGACCCCTCAAACAACCCTAGGCAGGGGGACCTCCAGAGGGGTTGAGAGCACATGCCTTTAATTTATTTTATTTTATTTTATTTTGTTTGAGATGGAGTCTTGCTCTGTCACCCAGGCTGGAGTGCAGTGGTGTGATTTCGGCTCACTGCAACCTCCACCTCCAGGGTTCAAGCAATTCTCATGCCTCAGCCTCCAGAGTAGCTGGGATCACAGGCACCTGCCATTGCACCCAGTTACAATTTGTATTTTCAGTAGAGATGGGGTTTCACCATGTTGGCGAGGCTGGCCTCGAATTCCTGACCTCAGGTGATCCACCCACCTCAGCCTCCCAAAGTGCTGGAATTAGAGGCGTGAGCCACCATGCCCGGCCAAGTTTTTAAAAAAAATTTTAAATGTATAAAATGTATTTATTTTTGAGACGGGGTCTCACTCTGTAACCCAGGCTGGAGTGCATGTCACCATCAGAGCTCACTGCGCTCCTGACCTCCTGGGCTCAAGCAATCCTCCCGCCTCAGCCTCCCAAGTAGCTGGAACTACAGGCATACACCACCATGCCTGGCTGTTTTTTTATTTTTATTATTCGGTAGATTTGGGCTCTCCTTCTGTTGCCCAGGTTGGTCTCAAGCTCCTGAGTTCAAGAGATCCTCCCTGCTTAGCCTCCCAAAGTGCGGGGATTAAAGGCATGAACCACCACACCTGGTTGGAATATTATTATTCTATGATTTTTTTTTTTTTTTTTTGAGACGGAGTTTCGCTATTGTTACCCAGGCTGGAGTGCAATGGCGCGATCTCGGCTCACCGCAACCTCCGCCTCCTGGGTTCAGGCAATTCTCCTGCCTCAGCCTCCTGAGTAGCTGGGATTCACAGGCACGCGCCACCACGCCCAGCTAGTTTTTTTTTTTTTTTTTTTTTTTTTTTGTATTTTTCAGTAGAGACGGGGTTTCACCATGTTGACCAGGATGGTCTTGATCTTTCGACCTCGTGATCCACCTGCCTCGGCCTCCCAAAGTGCTGGGATTACAGGCTTGAGCCACCGCGCCCGGCCAACCTTTTGAAAATATAAAAGGCATTCTTAGTTCACAGGAGGTACAAGAGCTGGCTTTGCCCTGCAGTGGGGGTTGATTTTCCCAAGGCTGTCAAGTACAGTTGCACAGTCTTTTCACTGCAAATTGTTCAGGCAGTAAGGGCTGAAGTCCAGCCACATTCTACTTGCTGAAAGGTGCATCCAGGCCGGGCACAGTGGCCCACGCCTGTATTCCCAGCACTTTGGGAGGCCGAGGCAGGTAGATCATCTGAGATCAGGAGTTTGAGACCAGCCTGGCCAATAGGGTGAAACCCCATCTCTACTGAAAATACAAAAATTAGCTGAGCGTGGTGGCACGCACCTGTAATCCCAGCTACTCGGGAGACTGAGGCAGAGAATTGCTTGAACCTGGGAGGTGGAGGTTGCAGTGAGCTAAGATTGCACTCCAGCCTGGTGACAAGAGTGAGACTCTGTTAAAAAAAAAAAAAAAATAAGAGGTGCATCCACCCGTAAGAGAATTTGGGGGTCCCAAATTCTCCCCATTTTACAGATGCAGGGACTGAGACCAGGGAAATTGAGAAAGTTTCCCGGTCGCAAAAGAATGAATAGAGGAATCTTCAGAAACAGTCTGTGAACTGTCTCCATCAGAGCCCGTCAGATGTGCACATGGACTGTGGGCGTGGCGAAGAGCATCACCTGAGGAAGTCTGGTGCACGAAGGATCATGTTCTGGAAGTCTTCCAGGGACAGCCGCCCATCATGGTCTCCATCAGCCTCATCCAGCACCTTCTCGCACACCAGGCTCACCTCCTCAGCGCTCAGCTCCCCCCGAGTCAGTTTGGTCACGGTCTGCTCCAGGTCCCACGCACAAATGTAGTTGTCATTGTTAAAATCTGCAAAGCAAGACAGGGAGTGACAGCAGGTGGCAGGCAGGCTGGGCTGGCTGTGGGCACATACTGTGCCCATGTTACAGAAGGGGAAACTAAGGTTGGGTGGGTGACTCACACCTGTAATCCCAGCACTTTGGGAGGCTGAGGCAGGTGGATCACCTGAGGTCAGGAGTTTGAGACCAGCCTGGCCAACATAGTGGAACCCCATCTCTACTGAAAATACAAAAATTAGCTGGGCGTGGTGGCAGGTGCCTGTAATCCCAGCTACTTGGGAGACTGAAGCAGGAGAATTGCTTGAACCCGGGAGACGGAGGTTGCAGTAAGCTCAGATCGTGTCACTGCACTCCAGCCTGGGCGACAGAGCAAGACATCTCAAATAGACAAAC